CTGTCTCTGATGTTCACACAGCTGTATCTGATGTTCACACAGCTGTCTCTGATGTTCACACAGCTGTCTCTGATGTTCACACAGCTGTCTTTGATGTTCACACAGCTGTCTCTGATGTTCACACAGCTGTCTCTGATGCTCACACAGCTGTATCTGATGATCACACAGCTGTCTTTGATGTTCACACAGCTGTCTCTGATGCTCACACAGCTGTATCTGATGTTCACACAGCTGTCTCTGATGTTCACACAGCTGTCTCTGATGTTCACACAGCTGTATCTGATGTTCACACAGCTGTCTCTGATGCTCACACAGCTGTCTCTGATGTTCACACAGCTGTCTCTGATGTTCACACAGCTGTCTCTGATGTTCACACAGCTGTCTCTGATGCTCACACAGCTGTCTCTGATGTTCACACAGCTGTCTGTGATGCTCACACAGCTGTCTCTGATGTTCACACAGCTGTATCTGATGTTCACACAGCTGTCTTTGATGTTCACACAGCTGTCTCTGATGTTCACACAGCTGTCTCTGATGCTCACACAGCTGTATCTGATGTTCACACAGCTGTCTCTGATGTTCACACAGCTGTCTCTGATGCTCACAGCTGTCTGTGATGTTCACACAGCTGTCTGTGATGTTCACACAGCTGTCTTTGATGTTCACACAGCTGTCTCTGATGTTCACACAGCTGTATCTGATGTTCACACAGCTGTCTCTGATGTTCACACAGCTGTCTCTGATGTTCACACAGCTGTCTTTGATGTTCACACAGCTGTCTCTGATGTTCACACAGCTGTCTCTGATGCTCACACAGCTGTATCTGATGATCACACAGCTGTCTTTGATGTTCACACAGCTGTCTCTGATGCTCACACAGCTGTATCTGATGTTCACACAGCTGTCTCTGATGTTCACACAGCTGTCTCTGATGTTCATACAGCTGTCTCTGATGTTCACACAGCTGTCTCTGATGTTCACACAGCTGTCTCTGATGTTCACACAGCTGTCTCTGATCACACAGCTGTCTCTGATGTTCACACAGCTGTCTCTGATGTTCACACAGCTGTCTTTGATGTTCACACAGCTGTCTTTGATGTTCACACAGCTGTCTTTGATATTCACACAGCTGTATCTGATGTTCACACAGCTGTCTTTGATGTTCACACAGCTGTCTCTGATGTTCACACAGCTGTCTCTGATGTTCACACAGCTGTATCTGATGTTCACACAGCTGTCTCTGATGTTCACACAGCTGTCTTTGATGTTCACACAGCTGTCTTTGATGTTCACACAGCTGTCTCTGATGCTCACACAGCTGTCTCTGATGTTCACACAGCTGTCTCTGATGTTCACACAGCTGTCTCTGATGTTCACACAGCTGTCTCTGATGCTCACACAGCTGTCTCTGATGTTCACACAGCTGTCTCTGATGCTCACACAGCTGTCTCTGATGTTCACACAGCTGTCTTTGATGTTCACACAGCTGTCTTTGATGTTCACACAGCTGTCTTTGATATTCACACAGCTGTATCTGATGTTCACACAGCTGTCTTTGATGTTCACACAGCTGTCTCTGATGTTCACACAGCTGTCTCTGATGTTCACACAGCTGTATCTGATGTTCACACAGCTGTCTCTGATGTTCACACAGCTGTCTTTGATGTTCACACAGCTGTCTTTGATGTTCACACAGCTGTCTCTGATGCTCACACAGCTGTCTCTGATGTTCACACAGCTGTCTCTGATGTTCACACAGCTGTCTCTGATGTTCACACAGCTGTCTCTGATGCTCACACAGCTGTCTCTGATGTTCACACAGCTGTCTCTGATGCTCACACAGCTGTCTCTGATGTTCACACAGCTGTCTTTGATGCTCACACAGCTGTATCTGATGCTCACACAGCTGTATCTGATGCTGATGTTCGTAGCTGTTATGGTAGCTGTCTCTTGCGCTATGCAGGGGGCTATGATGCGTCATCAAGTTTCACAGGAGACGGTGTCAGCTGTAGCTGACACAAGCTGCAGCTGCTCTGTCGGCAGCTGTTGTCAGCTGCTGCTGATACAGCTGCTGCAGCTTGTATCAGCTGCTGTGTCTGACTCAGCTACTGTTAGCTGAGTCAGTTGTGTCAGCTGCTGTTAGCTGGTGCTGCTGTCTCTGACACAGCTGACTCAGCTGCTGTTCGCTGGTGCTGCTGTGTCTGACTCAGCTGACTCAGCTGCTGTTAGCTGGTGCTGCTGTCTCTGACACAGCTGCTGTTAGCTGGTGCTGCTGTCTCTGACACAGCTGACTCAGCTGCTGTTTGCTGGTGCTGCTGTCTCTGACACAGCTGACTCAGCTGCTGTTCGCTGGTGCTGCTGTTTCTGACACAGCTGACTCAGCTGCTGTTAGCTGGTGCTGCTGTCTCTGACACAGCTGACTCAGCTGCTGCTGTCTCTGACACAGCTGACTCAGCTGCTGTTCGCTGGTGCTGCTGTCTCTGACACAGCTGACTCAGCTGCTGCTGTCTCTGACACAGCTGACTCAGCTGCTGTTAGCTGGTGCTGCTGTCTGACACAGCTGCTGTTCGCTGGTGCTGCTGTCTCTGACACAGCTGACTCAGCTGCTGTTCGCTGGTGCTGCTGTGTCTCGCACAGCTGCTGTTTGCTGGTGCTGCTGTCTCTGACACAGCTGACTCAGCTGCTGTTCGTTGGTGCTGCTGTCTCTGACACAGCTGACTCAGCTGCTGCTGTCTCTGACACAGCTGACTCAGCTGCTGTTCGCTGGTGCTGCTGTGTCTCGCACAGCTGACGCAGCTGGCTCTGAGTGATGCTTCCAATGCGTCTAACTTTTCGAACGTCGCCTGCTGTGCCTTACAGCCGACACGTGGCCTACCGCCTGCAGCTGACGTAGCTGCTGTCGGCTGTGTGGGCAATGTAACAGCTGACACAGCTGACACAGCTGCTGCAAGCTGCTGTAGTTGTATATTTGTGTTGTTGTTGTTTGTTATTGATGCATCGGCTGCGTGTCTGTAGTCCTACAGCGAGAGCGCGCGGCCTGTCCCTGACGCGTTCTGCTCACAGAGGTCACCTCCAGCCTGCCTGCGGCTGGCGCACAGCACAAGCGGCTGTTTGTGCAGCTGTTGTTGCTGCTGCTGCTGTGGAAACACTCCTGCTGCTGCTGCTGGCTATGTCGCTGATTCACTTGCTGTTGTCACTGATGGCTATGTCGCTGATTCACTTGCTGTCGATGATGGCTATGTCACTGATTCACTTGCTGTTGCTGCTGCTGGCTATGTCGCTGATTCACTTGCTGTTGTCGCTGGCTATGTCGCTGATTCACTTGCTGTTGCTGCTGCTGGCTATGTCGCTGAGACACTTGCTGTTGCTGCTGATGGCTGTGTCGCTGATTCACTTGCTGTTGTCGCTGGCTATGTCGCTGATTCACTTGCTGTTGTCACTGATGGCTATGTCGCTGATTCACTTGCTGTTGTCACTGATGGCTATGTCGCTGATTCACTTGCTGTTGTCACTGATGGCTATGTCGCTGATTCACTTGCTGTCGATGATGGCTATGTCACTGATTCACTTGCTGTTGCTGCTGCTGGCTATGTCGCTGATTCACTTGCTGTTGTCGCTGGCTATGTCGCTGATTCACTTGCTGTTGCTGCTGCTGGCTATGTCGCTGAGACACTTGCTGTTGCTGCTGATGGCTGTGTCGCTGATTCACTTGCTGTTGTCGCTGGCTATGTCGCTGATTCACTTGCTGTTGTCACTGATGGCTATGTCGCTGATTCACTTGCTGTTGTCACTGATGGCTATGTTGCTGATTCACTTGCTGTTGTCACTGATGGCTATGTCGCTGATTCACTTGCTGTTGTCACTGATGGCTATGTCGCTGATTCACTTGCTGTTGTCACTGATGGCTATGTAGCTGATTCACTTGCTGTTGCTGCTGCTGGCTATGTCGCTGATTCACTTGCTGTTGCTGCTGATGGCTATGTAGCTGATTCACTTGCTGTTGCTGCTGCTGGCTATGTCGCTGATTCACTTGCTGTTGTTGCTGATGGCTATGTCGCTGATTCACTTGCTGTCGCTGATGGCTATGTCGCTGATTCACTTGCTGTTGCTGCTGATGGCTATGTCGCTGATTCACTTGCTGTTGTCACTGATGGCTATGTCGCTGATTCACTTGCTGTTGCTGTTGCTGATAGCTATGTTGCTGATTCACTTGCTGTTGCTGTTGCTGATAGCTATGTTGCTGATTCACTTGCTGTTGCTGCTGATGGCTATGTCGCTGATTCACTTGCTGTTGCTGTTGCTGATAGCTATGTCGCTGATTCACTTGCTGTTGTTGCTGATGCTGCTGCAGCGGAAACACTCCTCCTCCTCCTGCTGCTGGCTATGTCGCTGATTCACTTGCTGTAGTCACTGCTGGCTATGTCGCTGATTCACTTGCTGTTGCTGCTGATGGCTATGTTGCTGATTCACTTGCTGTCGCTGATGGCTATGTCGCTGATTCACTTGCTTTTGCTGTTGCTGATAGCTATGTAGCTGATTCACTTGCTGTTGTTGTCGCTGCTGGCTATGAGCTGATTCACTTGCTGTTGCTGCTGCTGGCTATGAGCTGATTCACTTGCTGTTGCTGCTGCTGGCTATGTCGCTGATTCACTTGCTGTCGATGATAGCTATGTAGCTGATTCACTTGCTGTTGCTGCTGATGGCTATGTCGCTGATTCACTTGCTGTTGTTGCTGATGGCTATGTCGCTGATTCACTTGCTGTCGATGATAGCTATGTAGCTGATTCACTTGCTGTTGCTGCTGATGGCTATGTCGCTGATTCACTTGCTGTTGCTGCTGCTGGCTATGTCGCTGATTCAATTGCTGTCGCTGCTGGCTATGAGCTGATTCACTTGCTGTTGCTGCTGCTGGCTATGTAGCTGAGACACTTGCTGCTGTTGCTGCTGCTGATGGCTATGTCGCTGATTCACTTGCTGTTGCTGATAGCTATGTAGCTGATTCACTTGCTGTTGTTGTCGCTGCTGGCTATGAGCTGATTCACTTGCTGTTGCTGCTGCTGGCTATGTAGCTGAGACACTTTCTGCTCCTCTTGCTGCTGGCTATGTAGCTGAGACACTTGCTGCTGTTGCTGCTGTTGCTGGCAATGTAGCTGAGAGACTTTCTGCTCCTCTTGCTGCTGCTGCTGGCTATGTAGCTGAGACACTTTCTGCTGCTGCTGTTGCTGGCTATGTAGCTGAGACACTTTCTGTTGCTGGCTATGTAGCTGAGACACTTTCCGCTGCTGCTGCTGTTGCTGCTGTTGCTGCTGGCTATGTAGCTGAGACACTTTCCGCTGCTGCTGCTGCTGCTGGCTATGTAGCTGAGACACTTTCCGCTGCTGCTGCTGTTGCTGGCTATGTAGCTGAGACACTTTCTGTTGCTGGCTATGTAGCTGAGACACTTTCTGTTGCTGCTGTTGCTGGCTATGTAGCTGAGACACTTTCCGCTGCTGCTGCTGGCTATGTCGCTGAGACACTTTCCGCTGCTGCTGCTGGCTATGTCGCTGAGACACTTTCCGCTGCTGCTGCTGGCTATGTCGCTGAGACACTTTCCGCTGCTGCTGCTGGCTATGTAGCTGAGACACTTTCTGCTGCTGCTGCTGTTGCTGGCTATGTAGCTGAGACACTTTCCGCTGCTGCTGTTGCTGCTGTTGCTGCTGGCTATGTCGCTGAGACACTTTCCGCTGCTGTTGCTGGCTATGTAGCTGAGACACTTTCTGCTGCTGCTGTTGCTGGCTATGTCGCTGAGACACTTTCCGCTGCTGCTGCTGTTGCTGCTGGCTATGTCGCTGAGACACTTTCCGCTGCTGCTGCTGGCTATGTCGCTGAGACACTTTCCGCTGCTGCTGTTGCTGCTGGCTATGTCGCTGAGACACTTTCCGCTGTTGCTGCTGTTGTTGGCTATGTCGCTGAGACACTTTCTGCTGCTGCTGCTGGCTATGTCGCTGAGACACTTTCTGCTGCTGCTGGCTATGTCGCTGATTCACTTGCTGTTGCTGCTGGCTATGTCGCTGAGACACTTTCTGCTCCTCTTGCTGCTGCTGGCTATGTAGCTGAGACACTTTCTGCTGCTGCTGTTGCTGGCTATGTAGCTGAGACACTTTCTGCTGCTGCTGCTGCTGGCTATGTCGCTGAGACACTTTCTGCTGCTGCTGCTGCTGGCTATGTAGCTGAGACACTTTCCGCTGCTGCTGCTGCTGGCTATGTAGCTGAGACACTTTCTGCTGCTGCTGCTGGCTATGTAGCTGAGACACTTTCTGCTGCTGCTGCTGGCTATGTAGCTGAGACACTTTCCGCTGCTGCTGCTGCTGTTGCTGGCTATGTAGCTGAGACACTTTCTGCTGCTGTTGCTGCTGGCTATGTAGCTGAGACACTTTCCGCTGCTGTTGCTGCTGTTGCTGGCTATGTAGCTGAGACACTTTCTGCTGCTGCTGCTGTTGCTGGCTATGTAGCTGAGACACTTTCCGCTGCTGCTGCTGCTGTTGCTGGCTATGTAGCTGAGACACTTTCTGCTGCTGCTGCTGCTGTTGCTGGCTATGTCGCTGAGACACTTTCCGCTGCTGCTGTTGCTGGCTATGTTGCTGAGACACTTTCTGCTGCTGCTGTTGTTGGCTATGTCGCTGAGACACTTTCCGCTGCTGCTGCTGGCTATGTAGCTGAGACACTTTCTGCTGCTGTTGCTGCTGGCTATGTAGCTGAGACACTTTCCGCTGCTGCTGTTGCTGCTGGCTATGTCGCTGAGACACTTTCCGCTGCTGCTGCTGTTGCTGGCTATGTAGCTGAGACACTTTCCGCTGCTGCTGTTGCTGCTGTTGCTGCTGGCTATGTAGCTGAGACACTTTCCGCTGCTGTTGCTGCTGTTGCTGGCTATGTAGCTGAGACACTTTCCGCTGCTGCTGCTGCTGGCTATGTAGCTGAGACACTTTCCGCTGCTGCTGCTGCTGTTGCTGGCTATGTAGTTGAGACACTTTCCGCTGCTGCTGCTGCTGTTGCTGGCTATGTAGCTGAGACACTTTCTGCTGCTGCTGCTGCTGTTGCTGGCTATGTCGCTGAGACACTTTCCGCTGCTGCTGTTGCTGGCTATGTTGCTGAGACACTTTCTGCTGCTGCTGTTGTTGGCTATGTCGCTGAGACACTTTCCGCTGCTGCTGCTGGCTATGTAGCTGAGACACTTTCTGCTGCTGTTGCTGCTGGCTATGTAGCTGAGACACTTTCCGCTGCTGCTGTTGCTGCTGGCTATGTCGCTGAGACACTTTCCGCTGCTGCTGCTGTTGCTGGTTATGTAGCTGAGACACTTTCCGCTGCTGCTGTTGCTGCTGTTGCTGCTGGCTATGTAGCTGAGACACTTTCCGCTGTTGCTGCTGTTGCTGGCTATGTCGCTGAGACACTTTCCGCTGCTGCTGCTGCTGCTGGCTATGTAGCTGAGACACTTTCCGCTGCTGCTGCTGTTGCTGGCTATGTAGTTGAGACACTTTCCGCTGCTGCTGCTGCTGTTGCTGGCTATGTAGCTGAGACACTTTCTGCTGCTGCTGCTGTTGCTGGCTATGTCGCTGAGACACTTTCCGCTGCTGCTGTTGCTGGCTATGTTGCTGAGACACTTTCTGCTGCTGCTGTTGTTGGCTATGTCGCTGAGACACTTTCCGCTGCTGCTGCTGGCTATGTAGCTGAGACACTTTCTGCTGCTGTTGCTGCTGGCTATGTAGCTGAGACACTTTCCGCTGCTGCTGTTGCTGCTGGCTATGTCGCTGAGACACTTTCCGCTGCTGCTGCTGTTGCTGGCTATGTAGCTGAGACACTTTCCGCTGCTGCTGTTGCTGCTGTTGCTGCTGGCTATGTAGCTGAGACACTTTCCGCTGTTGCTGCTGTTGCTGGCTATGTCGCTGAGACACTTTCCGCTGCTGCTGCTGTTGCTGGCTATGTCGCTGAGACTTTCTGCTCCTCTTGCTGCTGCTGCTGTTGCTGGCTATGTAGCTGAGACACTTTCTGCTGCTGGCGGTGACAGCTTGTGGCGGTGACAGCTTGTGGCGGTGACAGCTGCGTCTTGAATAAGCTGTCGCCCACCCCGACCTCGCCCGCACACCACCCACTGTCGATGATTGTCCCAGTAAAAGCGATCTCGGTTCCAGCGCCGACTCCCGCGGGATTTCTTTTCTTCACGACGGATGGACGCGGCCTCGGCCCCCCCCCCCCCCCCGCCAACCTTGGAACGTGGAGTTGCCACTGCGGACGCGGGCAGGGGCGCCCGGTAGCTCGGGGGGGGCGGGGAGCGGTCTCCACATTCAGTGTCTCATCAGCAGGGCCAGGCTCTGCTTGACCCGGTGGATAGCTGCGTAGCTGTCAAGCCGTACGGTTTGACAGCTACGCAGTCTTGTACATAGACTCCAATGTGTAAGTCTCTACCCATAGACTCCAATGTTAAAGTCTCTACCTATAGACTCCAATGTGTAATTCTCTACCCATAGACTCCAATGTTAAAGTCTCTACCCATAGACACCAATGTGTAAGTCTCTACCCATAGACTCCAATGTGTAAGTCTCTACCCATAGACACCAATGTTAAAGTCTCTACCCATAGACTCCAATGTTAAAGTCTCTACCCATAGACTCCAATGTTAAAGTCTCTACCCATAGACTCCTATGTTAAAGTCTCTACCCATAGACTCCAATGTTAAAGTCTCCCATAGACTACAATGTTAAAGTCTCTACCCATAGACTCCAATGTTAAAGTCTCTGCCCCTAGACTCCAATGTTAAAGTGTCTACGCATAGACTACAATGTTAAAGCCTCTATCCATAGACTCCAATGTGTAAGTCTCTACCCATAGACTCCAATGTTAAAGTCTCTACCTATAGACTCCAATGTGTAATTCTCTACCCATAGACTCCAATGTTAAAGTCTCTACCCATAGACACCAATGTGTAAGTCTCTACCCATAGACTCCAATGTGTAAGTCTCTACCCATAGACACCAATGTTAAAGTCTCTACCCATAGACTCCAATGTTAAAGTCTCTACCCATAGACTCCAATGTTAAAGTCTCTACCCATAGACTCCTATGTTAAAGTCTCTACCCATAGACTCCAATGTTAAAGTCTCCCATAGACTACAATGTTAAAGTCTCTACCCATAGACTCCAATGTTAAAGTCTCTGCCCCTAGACTCCAATGTTAAAGTGTCTACGCATAGACTACAATGTTAAAGCCTCTATCCATAGACTCCAATGTTAAAGTCTCTACCCATAGACTCCAATATTAAAGTCTCTACCCATAGACTCCAATGTTAAAGTCTCTACCCATAGACTCCAATGTTAAAGTCTCTACCCATAGACTCCAATGTTAAAGTCTCTATCCATAGACTCCAATGTTAAAGTCTCTACCCATAGACTCCAATATTAAAGTCTCTACCCATAGACTCCAATGTTAAAGTCTCTACCCATAGACTCCAATGTTAAAGTCTCTACCCATAGACTCCAATGTTAAAGTCTCTATCCATAGACTCCAATGTTAAAGTCTCTACCCATAGACTCCAATATTAAAGTCTCTACCCATAGACTCCAATGTTAAAGTCTCTACCCATAGACTCCAATGTTAAAGTCTCTACCCATAGACTACAATGTTAAAGTCTCTATCCATAGACTCCAATGTTAAAGTCTCTACCCATAGACTCCAATATTAAAGTCTCTACCCATAGACTCCAATGTTAAAGTCTCTACCCATAGACTCCAATGTTAAAGTCTCTACCCATAGACTACAATGTTAAAGTTTCTACCCATAGACTCCAATGTTAAAGTGTCTACCCATAGACTCCAATGTTAAAGTCTCTACCCATAGACTCCAATGTTAAAGTCTCTATCCATAGACTCCAATGTTAAAGTCTCTACCCATAGACTCCAATATTAAAGTCTCTACCCATAGACTCCAATGTTAAAGTCTCTACCCATAGACTCCAATGTTAAAGTCTCTACCCATAGACTACAATGTTAAAATTTCTACCCATAGACTCCAATGTTAAAGTGTCTACCCATAGACTCCAATGTTAAAGTATCTACCCATAGACTACAATGTTAAAGTCTCTACCCATAGACTCCAATGTTAAAGTCTCTACCCATAGACTCCAATGTTAAAGTCTCTACCCATAGACTACAATGCTAAAGTTTCTACCCATAGACTCCAATGTTAAAGTCTCTACCCATATACTCCAATGTTAAAGTCTCTACCTATAGACCCCAATGTTAAAGTCTCTACCCATAGACTCCAATGTTAAAGTCTCTACCCATAGCCTCCAATGTTAAAGTCTCTACCCATAGACTCCAATGTTAAAGTCTCTACCCATATACTCCAATGTTAAAGTCTCTACCCATAGACGCCAATGTTAAAGTCTCTACCCATAGACTCCAATGTTAAAGTCTCTACCCAATGACTCCAATGTTAAAGTCTCTACCCATAGACGCCAATGTTAAAGTCTCTACCCATAGACTCCAATGTTAAAGTCTCTACCCATAGACTCCAATGTTAAAGTCTCTACCCATAGACTCCAATGTTAAAGTCTCTTTCCATAGACACCAATGTGTAAGTCTCTACCCATAGACTCCAATGTGTAAGTCTCTACCCATATACTCCAATGTGTAAGTCTCTACCCATAGACTCCAATGTTAAAGTCTCTACCCATAGACTCCAATGTTAAAGTCTCTACCCATAGACTCCAATGTTAAAGTCTCTACCCATAGACTCCAATGTTAAAGTCTCTACCCATAGACTCCAATGTTAAAGTATCTACCCATAGACTCCAATGTTAAAGTCTCTACCCATAGAATCCAATGTTAAAGTGTCTACCCATAGACTCCAATGTTAAAGTCTCTACCCATAGACTCCAATGTTAAAGTCTCTACCTATAGATTCCAATGTTAAAGTGTCTACCCATAGACTCCAATGTTAAAGCCTCTACCCATAGACTCCAATGTTAAAGTGTCTACCCATAGACTCCAATGTTAAAATCTCTACCCATAGACTCCAATGTAAAGTCTCTACCCATAGACTCCAATGTTAAAGTATCTACCCACAGACACCAATGTTAAAGTCTACCCATAGACTCCAATGTTAAAGTCTCTACCTATAGACTCCAATGTTAAAGTCTCTACCCATAGACTCCAATGTTAAAGTATCTACCCATAGACTCCAACGTTAAAGTCTCTACCTATAGACTCCAACGTTAAAGTATCTACCCATAGACTCCAATGTTAAAGTCTCTACCCATTGACTCCAATGTTAAAGTCTCTACCCATAGACTCCAATGTTAAAGTGTCTACTTATAGACTCCAATGTTAAAGTGTCTACCTATAGACTCCAATGTTAAAGTGTCTACCCATAGTCTCCAATGTTAAAGTATCTACCTATATACTCCAATGTTAAAGTCTCTACCCATAGTCTCCAATGTTAAAGTATCTACCCATAGACTCCAATGTTAAAGTATCTACTCATAGACTCCAATGTTAAAGTCTACCCATAGACTCCAATGTTAAAGTATCTACTCATAGACTCCAATGTTAAAGTCTCTACCCATCGACTCCAATGTTAAAGTCTCTACCCATAGACTTTGTAGGGTGATCGTTGAGGCTTTGTATGGGTCACGGGGTGACCAATCTGGTCTGACTTGGTCTTTCGTCAGGTCGGGCACTGATAGCCATGGAGTGGGTGTAGTAGTGTAGTACAATAGTAGTATAGTACTATAGTATACTACTAAAGTATATGATATACTATAGTATGTAGTACTATAGTAGTGTAGTACTCTAGTGTAGTGTAGTACTATTGTAGTGTAGTACTATAGTGTAGTACCATAGTAGTATAGTACTATAGTATACTACTAAAGTATATGATATACTTTAGTAGTATACTGTAGTACTATAGCAGTGTAGTACTACTATAGTAGTGTAGTACTCTAGTGTAGTGTAGTACTATAGTAGTGTAGTACTATAGTAGTGTAGTACTATAGTAGTGTAGTACTATAGTGGTGTAGTACTATAGTGTAGTGTAGTACTATAGTAGTGTAGTACTATAGTAGTGTAGTACTATAGTAGTGTAGTACTATAGTAGTGTAGTACTATAGTATAGAGTAGTACTATAGTACTATAGTAGTGTAGTACTATAGTAGTGTAGTACTATAGTATAGAGTAGTACTATAATGTAGTGTAGTACTATAGTATAGAGTAGTACTATAGTACTATAGTAGTTTAGTACTATAGTAGTGTAGTACTATAGTGTAGTACTATAGTAGTGTAGTACTATAGTGTAGTGTAGTACTATAGTAGTGTAGTACTATAGTGTAGTGTACTATAGTAGGGTAGTACTGTAGTGTAGTACTATAGTAGTGTAGTACTATAGTCTAGTGAAGTACTATAGTGGAGTATTATAGTGTAGTGTAGTACTATAGTGTAGTACTATAGTGTAGTACTATAGTAGTGTAGTACTATAGTAGTGTAGTACTATAGTAGTGTAGTACTATAGTAGTGTAGTACTATAGTGTAGTGTAGTACTATAGTAGTGTAGTACTATAGGAGTGTAGTGTAGTACTATAGTAGTGTAGTATTATAGGAGTGTAGTGTAGTACTATAGTAGTTTAGTACTATAGTCCTATAGTGTAGTACTATAGTGTAGTGTAGTACTATAGTGTAGTACTATTGTGTAGTGTAGTACTATAGTATAGTGTAGTAGTATAGTGTAGTACTATAGTATAGTGTAGTACTATAGTGGTGTAGTACTATAGTGTAGTGTAGTACTATAGTAGTGTAGTACTATAGTGGTGTAGTACTATAGTGTAGTACTATAGTGGTGTAGTACTATAGTGTAGTGTAGTACTATAGTGTAGTGTAGTACTATAGTAGTGTAGTACTATAGTATAGAGTAGTACTATAGTAGTGTAGTACTATAGTAGTTTAGTACTATAGTATAGAGTAGTACTATAGTGGTGTAGTCCTATAGTGTAGTGTAGTACTACTATAGTAGTGTAGTAACTATAGTAGTGTAG